CATGTCGTATGTTTCATCATAGCGTTTGATCCGGAGAGTCGATGCTTGTAGAGGTGAGCCCGGGTCCTGTGATTGTGTTTCTTATGACTTACTGAAGTGATCAATGAACCAATCTATGAATCGAAATACATATGGTTTCAACAACGCAGCCAGTGCAAAGAGGCACATTAGCTGGGTGTAGCCAGACATGTTGCCATTCAGGACCTGACTGGCAGCATTGGTGATGTTTGAGAAACCAGGAAGGAAGAGGTCCAAAATGGACATCGGCTGGGACAGTGCCTCTTGGATGAGAGGCGAGCTGACGTTGCTGAGGAGTGTCATGATAGTATAATAGAGGCTATACTAATAAGAGGAAGAAGACGATGGCAATGTAGATTGAATATGAAGGAACTGAATTGAATCTTGCGAAGCTTCGGCTCACGACTTGAATTCTTGGAAGGGTAGACCTACATCAGAACGAATATGATCTCCTCTCGTGGGAATCCCGCCTTCTTATGGTTCTCTCACTTACGAATCGCATCCCTATCTCAGATTCAACCTTCCGTCATCAGATTTGGTCTGACGAGGCATTACCACTAATTGCCTGCCACTTACAAGCATCATTGGACATTGATCAACTAGGATGCATGTTGGTGCTTAGTTCTCTAGTGCTATCATGCAGGTTACATCTGATGCGGCCAGACTTCGCGCAGCTGATGCAAGTATCTGTCTCAGGAAATGAACTGTTGGACCTCACTGCGTTCATCTGCAGCAACTATCGAATGTGACTACGCCAGAGTAAACCACCTGGTCTAGGCAGGAGGGAGCCTACGCAGGGATGAGAAGTTGGTTGCTGATCCAGGTCCCCGTAAACAACGTACTTTGTACAGCTCAATTCAGCTGTATTCCGGGTTGCGCAAAACCCAGAAGCCCTTATACGCGCACCGCACTGTGGAGTTGTCAAGAGATGTCGATCAAGGTATTGTGTGATAATTATCGCTTTTTCTATGCCCCTATCACGCTCTAAGTTTCTCTTTTCTGTATTAACTAACCGGCAATATAATATGGAATCACAAACACGGGCGACAATAACCTGTCTAGGAATATTCCTTGGTGAACCAGCTATTATCGTTCACCGAAGGTAAGTTGTTCAATTAGCTAGAACTCTGCGAGCCGTGGAGGAACTTTCTTCTCTCTTCCGATTGGATGAGCATATCTCTGTTGAAGAGTGGAGGGTAGAGAGCATTCATCCCTGCTAAGCGTCTGGAGGGCAGAGAGTGTTTATCCCTGTTGAAAGAGTGGAGGGTAGAGAGAATTCATCCCTGCTAGCGGAGTGGAGGGTAGAGAATATTTATCCCTGTCGGAGACTGCGTGGGACGGTTCAAGCATGCCAAAACGGTTGCAGCTGGTTGTAAAAACGGCGAATCCGTTCAAAACGACAATGGACAGGAAAAAGGTTCTTCCGGTAGCGCAAAATTTTCTTGTTTCTGAGCAGGCGAGCCTCTCAGGCGGGAAAAGTTCTTTCCGTTCATTGGCGTCATCGTCAACCTTCACTTCTTTGCCTATCGCAGTCTCAGTTTCGCATGGCATCAAGCAAGGCTAGGTTGGAAACTGCCCAGCAGTCCCTACATGAGAATGGCTTTTTTGAGCTACCAGACTGCGAAGTTGGAGATCACATTGCCGTTTTCCAGTCTAAGGGCTTTCCTTATGGGACCATATTTGCCTTGGAACTTCTCATTGAGGCTGTGATCTTTGATCCGGTGAGTGGTCTTAAGTGAATGCCCTGATAATTATCTAATTACCTCAGAGGATTCGTGACATACTTCATGCGTACTCCGACGACTTTATCCTCGGCCATCATTTAAGGTATACAGCGAAACCTGGACGATTCTTTCGCTTCTGGGCCGGGGGCCCAAACACTCGTCGGCTTTTTGTGGTTCATCAATGGGCAAAAGGGTCACGAGTGGACTACTGGATTGGGTCGCACAAAGTTGCGCTGCCAGTTCTACAGCCGCAAGGTGAAAATATGGAGCCTTTGCATGAAAATGATAGAGAATCGCTCGTTGAGGCGGGCTGCAAGCCTCAACAGTTTTATTTCCCAGAGGGTGGTTTGTAAGTTGCTTCCCTACATGGTTGGAATGCTCTAACATGACATAGAATAATTACTGATGCACGAATCTCCTTCGATCGCAAGGCAGGCTACGAACTTGCCAACGTGTTCTTTCCTCGTGATCTTCTCCCCAAACTTCCAATGCAGCTCCCTTATTCACCTGAGATGGAGAGGAAGGTCAAAAATATGAGGGAGAAGAGCGGGACACTTGGTGTAAATTTCGAAATTAGATACCCGACCCAGACATAAAGTAGTTCATAGCGTCATATATAGCGGGAGCATCTTGCATATGAAGCAGATATGAGTCCATTCCACCAGATCTAACAGAAACCTCCGGCTCGTTCGTAGACATGCTCTCTTGCCAAGGTTCCACAATCGTGTTTGTAAGAGTAGCCGTGCCGAAGTGCATGGATATGTTCTGGGTGTCGGCATTGTTCATGGTTGGACACACATTTGAAGAGGGTCTTGCTGCCTGCTGCCGCAATATCTCGCCTTTTTCATGAGCAGCCTCCTCAGTGTGGTTGTTCACAGCATTCATCAACTTTGGCTTCTGCGATATAGATTGGTCCACACTTATTCCCGCCGCTTCTTGTGTTCGTTTCTGGGGGGCTCTTTCGCTTCGTAAGGATTTAGGACGCGGATGTACCAAGAGGAGCTCCTCATCGATACCTCTGAATAGCTCCTCACACTTGTCTCGTATGAATCTCGCGTCGATTTCGCTCTCGGTTTCATGACGACGAACATGGCGGATCCATTCGATCGAGGTTCCCGATATCCATGATGGTACGCAGATCGGGCATGGACGCTTGAGCTTGACATCTGCACTAAGTTAGTAGTCTTCGTGTGATAAGGGATGACAGCTTACGCGTTCCATAGTGTGCCCGGAATCCCGTGAGCTTCTCGGCTGGCTTCACGAAACAGTCGTCTCTGGGGCAGTGATAACCATCTCGATCTTTATGCTTTGCGAGCGATTCATACTGGCTCATAGGCTCTGGCACACGGAGAACATCGTTTTCCTCAGCCTTTGAGTGAGATAGGGACTGTTGGAGGTGCTGCTGGAGGTCGAATACTAGTTGTCGTTGCTGCAATTGTTTAGTTTGCTCCTCTTTAAAATGCCCATCACGTTCTTCAGAGCACGCGAAAGTAGCTAGGCAGGTACATCGAAAACCGGATGATAACATGGTCATGAGAGGCAAGCAAGGAGTAGATGAAGGACACGTGGACTACCCGCTTTGACTGGGTGGCGGGGTTATTTTAATCCGGGCACATGCATTAAACCGTTTCTACCTTAGACGTAAAGGGTGGGGAAGTTGGGCCTCCTTTGTTCTAAATATCGAGCGCCTTTGGGCATCATATTTGATTCTATCTTCTTTTCCTACATTGTCGCGTCGAATTATTATTTCATGTTCTACAATCAAAACCAGGAAAGATGTGCGACCAATGCGATGGTTCAGGCTATGTCGGCCCAAATAAAAACGTCAAATGTCCCTCGTGCAACACCACCCGTCACCTTGAGGCAAGTGACCTGAGCAATCTGTTGGCGACATATTAACCGCTCTCATAGCTAATGTATCCGGATGACGAGGAGCAAGGGTTGCTTTATCACTATGCGACACCAGAATTCTCTCCATAGCCTGGGTAGTTTGCGATGACCGGATTTGGGAGCGGGGACATGGAAGATAGGGGAACAGTTTGCGGTATCTGTTGGCGAAATATGAGCGGACTGAAGTATCCATGGGGTTTGTCTGTCGTCAGTTATTATGTCATGGACATCTGGTCACGCGTATGGTCAGTCACTATTTTGGAGGAGTCGAGCCATGCCATTCTCTTGATCGGACCAGCCCAGATAATATGCCCACCAATGACGCATGCTATACGAGCTGCAACACCGTTGGAAATATGTATGTATGGGATTGAACATCAAATCTCGTCATGTCTGGACTGGTTGCCAAAACTACACAGCGATATCGAGCAGGCTGCAAGCAAAGTAATTAGCCAATTAAGAATCTGCAAGCAAGCGCTCTTCGATTAGTTTGAGTGCATTCAGATCATGCTCAATATGAGCGACATCCGGAAATAGGCCGCCCCAATTCATCGTACCAGCCTTAGGGCCCATAGGTTCGCCCTTAGATCGACAAGAGTCAAAGTCAATAAGAACAGCACTATCTTTACCATCGAGCATGATATTGGAGAGATTGATATCCCCGTGGACGAGATTCAGAGAATGCAGATGTGCAACGCCCCTCTTTATGTCCTCCATAATGGCCTGTTTTTCGTTGTAATTTAATGATTGATCCCTCAGCAACATCGCCAACGTTTGTTTATATCGCCTTAGACATAGTCCTTTGATCCGACCATCAATAACCACACACCCATAGTAGACGCCGATATTAGGATGTGGTGCCTGGCGTAACTGCTCGTACACTCGGGCTTCCTGCAGTTGCGGCTCGTAGAAGGACTGTTGCGTAGCGAAAGAACAGTGGCCATACGTGAGGAGATTTGGTTCTTTGATAAATACACTCTTTAGATCAAGAGGAAAGTCCGGTGCTATCGATAGGTCGGTTGAAAATGGTGCCCGAAAATGTGATATTGGTATAGCTGTTAGGGGTATCTGGGTTGGGTCGATATCTCCTTTGCGTCGTGGGTCTCGTCCAAAAAAGTATTGGTCACCCTCGCGCAGGATGACCATTCTGTGGTCGAATTCAGGTTCATCAGTCTCTGTCCAGACCGGCTGACAAGCCAGGATTTCGAAAGAGTTCCTGGAGGTGGCGTCCATGGTGAATAACGACGAATTGTCCACAAGAATTGTCTACTGGCACCGCCATGAAAGCTGTAGTGCTTTTGCTCAAGCTTTTCTATTCTGCCGTGACTCACCGCTTGACCATCAGGACTTTAGTAATCAAGCTACATCGTATTCAGTCACCTTGCTCCACTATCGTAGTCCGCTATCGTAGTCCACCATTGGGATTCCCTGTCGTAGCAGTTCCTTGTCGTAGTCCACTACCGTAGTCCACTATCGTTCACTATCGTAGTCCACTGTCGTAGTCCGCTATCGTAGTCCACCATTGGGATTCCCTGTCCAAGCAGTTCCTTGTCGTAGTCCACTACCGTAGTCCACTATCATTCCACTATCGTAGTCCACTGTCGTAGTTCGCTACTCTAGTCGGTGCGCTCTGTATTTCACAATAATAGGAAAGGGAAAATGCTATATAGAATAACTGAAATCCTTTCGAGCGTCTCCTTCTATTCTATTCCTCTACACCACAAAGCAGACAAACAAAACTGCTAATCCAACATTCAATTATCTATACCATCACTTTCAATATGGCTTTCAAGGAAACAGCCGAGTATGAACTCGTTAATTCTTGTGACTGGGCTACAAGGCGCCGAGCCGATGGCTCCACCTACAGGGTCAGAATTGTTGACTGTGGTAACACCAAGTGCAAATACTCTGACTCCTACATTGCAGGTAGTACCCACACATCCTCTACCTTTCTGCCACGCCCACTGATGAACTTGTGCAATAGGAGCCTAGAGCGCTTTAGGGGAGGGAGGCGGGCCAATGTGATTGTGTAACCGAATGGGCATAGCTAAATCAAAGACGCATCCAAATGCGTGCGATAGTAGCCCATATTAGCTTAGTTCAATGAATTATTTGAATACAAACCCAGAGTAGCACTATCTTACGTAAGCAGCACATTTGATTTACCCGCTCTTCTGATGGTTACCAGAACTTTATTTACCAACCATATTTTGATGCCTCGTTCAGAAATGGAAGAGGTCACCACAGATGAAGCCCCCCCATATGTTGAACTCCTCCTGCAACGCCTTAGTACATATGAACGCGTGTCTGGGATAGAAGTATCCTGGCAGGAAACCCAACAAGCTGGGGAAGAATCAACACCCAACATATTCCTCGGAAGTGGTGGATTCCCCGCCTGGCTCGCATATCATCTCACAAAAAGCGCGACAGAGGTGCAGCACTACATCCCCAATAAAGCTGACTATACTAGAGTAATCTCTGGTTTAGAGAATGAATCTGTTACGTCTCGACAACTAGTTGCGAAACAACTTGCGGGCAAAATTGCACCTGAACTGATGATCAAAATCAATAATCTAAGAACTAAAAGGATCAGACCGCTCGAGAATAGCACTACCAGTCAACCTGGGAATAAAAGACAGCGTAAGTAGGGCTTTCCATTGAGTGATCTTGTTCTGACGTGTGCCAGGTACGGTAGATGTCAATGGCAATCCCTCAGCTTCCCCGACAACTCGCCTCAGTCTCGCTCCGACTCTTGATAACGGACATGCAGCGACTTCCAATAACACATTCGTTGCCAATAACACACATACTACGACTGCCTCACATGCAACGACTTCCAACAACGCCCGAGCTGATGTCGTATCAGTTGAAACGCCAGGCTACTTTGCTCAGGAGGAACACGTGCTAGTCAACGCCTCCCTTACTGCTGCCACGAAACTTTTCCCCCGTGACTTATCGTATGCGATCAAACGACACCCTGACCCAAGAAGTGACCATGACTTGGTGGCCGCCATATCAATGACATTCGCGGACGCACTATACATGAACAAGCTGGACTGCTATATGGCATTGGAGATCACGACTGACAAAGTACAGCACATGGCTCGAGAATTATTTGGGATACGCTTGGAAACAGTAGCTGGGCTCCGATACGTTTATCTTCCAGGCAGTGCATCCAAAATTCTACCTAACCCTATGTTCACCTTGCAAGGATGCGGATGCAATATTATTCATTCTACCTTTGGCAGCGAAGTGTCTAATGCAATTATGGCGAGTCCAAAATATCAGGATGACATGAGACATGCGCGTGATGCGACAGACGCCGTCAGCATGATGGTCTCACTCTCGGCCGATGAGGGCGCTACCCTCTCTGTGCATCTTGGCTTATGGGAGGGTACTGAAATCAAGAAGAAATTGTATATATAATACCCAGTAATTATGATTCAATGCCAAGCCAACTTTCTTTCACCTTCCCATCCTTCCCACCAAACCAAAGCTTTGTGCCTTTTGGTACTATGCCCTCTCCATCGCACTTATCATACGACGCGGTCGGTGTACTTGTGTCTGTTGCAGAATATACCCGTAAAAAGCAAGCGGTCCAGTAAACGGTCTGACCTGACCCGTCGATGGTGGTCGGGGGCCTTTCAGCGTCGCTGAAAAATTCTTCGCCCTTAGAGTGAGCCTTGAAATTGAACGACTGCAGAACATGTCAGTATAACCCAGCCCGGGCCAGATAGGAAAACGTACCATTGGAAATATCACTCAAAAACTTTGGGATATTCGTGGTAAGATTGATACTTCGCGCCACGGAGTGTGGGCAATATGTAGTAGCAACCTCCACCGTGTTGGACATCGATATTGGGTATCAATCGAAAATGGCTCATTGGAGGATACTCCTCAAGTCTGCCGTCATGCAAGAAATGGACCTGGAGGCATCCTGTGTGCTTACCTTGGGATGCAGAGGAAAAAAGCAATTAGGCGGTAATGAGGGTCGGTTAAGGCTTTATAGTGCTGGACGAGAATGATGATGTACCTCCTACACCTTAGGCCAGCGTACATTAACCCCTCCGTCGTATTAAGTACCTTAAAAAAAAATACTAGAAGCACAAGTGGGACGAGTGGGGGTACGGTAATGAGGCTGCTGGATCTTGAATATGCAATCCGAGCACTCTACAGCTGGTAAAAGTCGCTTTGGTAATAAATAGCCCGAAAATAACCGGTGGGCGAAGAGTAGAGACTCCTCAACCCTTAATTTCTTCCATGCCGGCTATTCTTCGGCCATTAGGTCATGCTACCAAAGATCGGTAGTTATAGCCAATCATAGGGTGCTCGGAATTTTTGTATTGTCAATTTTTATTGGTCTAGAAGAACCTGCCGATTTTTGCTGTTGTTCCTACACTCGAGCAGGACATGTCATACTGTTTGCCGGCCAGATCTGCATTCGTATTTGTCGGTACAGCCTTTCCTGGTCGGACCCCGAGGTTAAAGAGCTCTCTGCTGTGTTTGGCTGTAAGTAAATCCACCGGAATTAGACTATCTATCCTTTACTCCGGAGCTCGTCTGGAGCTTGAACGAACTCTACAAAGATATATTGTCCGGATGGGGCTCTCCTTCATGAGTAGGTAGAGCAAACAGATCAGGCGAGTGCAAGATGGCTCTGTCTTTAAAGAAGGAGGTGAAAGAATCGCGAAAAGCGTCGGAATTAGTTCCAATAGGATGGTCCTCAATCAATTGGACTAGCCTTAGTACACCATGGCAGTGTCACAGGCCTATCTCTTTCGTGCATCGGAAACTACAGCAAGGTATTTTCTCCACTTATTTATATGGTACAAAGTATACTGGAAAAAACTAAAGGAGGCCCTGGAACATCGAATTGTAGGTGTACTTCTGGTCAGTGGCGAAGTTCACTCTGGTAGAGTACTGATCAACAATACATTAAGATCCACACTAAATAGGTGATACTTAAAGTATTTGTTAACCGAGTTCTACCGGGCGAATCAGTACCTTGCAAGTGACTTGCTGTAGCTTCCGAATGCACCAAAGAGATTGTGCAGCACAAAGAGCCGTGTTGAGTAGGGGTTTGCCACACATCGACCCAGCCATTTTTCGGGATTATTTCGGAGCAGAGGCGGCTACATATTCAAGGCTCGAGGAGAAAAGAGTTTTCCTTGCTTTGTTTGAAGTATTCTCTTCCCATAGCAATTTCTCTCTACGGCCACACTCCCAATGCTCCGTAGGTGACGTACATTTATAGAAAGTGGGGCTACACGCTATTGATCCAGCTAAGGTCGTGCAAAACAAGAAACAGTTGATGTGGATAAATGCGTAATATAGAGGAAATCAAAAGATAATAATATATGCTAACTGCCGATTGCTAGACCCTCGTTGCAGTGAACTTTATAATTCTCGTCGATGCGAACCTTGGGTCTAGAATGTTTTTGCCTGATGCCCAATAGCATCATCCCCACTCTGAAGATAAGGACCGGGTAATTCACGGAAGCAGAGGCCATATCCTCAGATGGGAGAGACAAGTTCGGGGTATGCCCGTCAAGCAATCAGCTAGCAACCACGTAGGAGCTCGAACGCCAATAAGTTCATCTGCCAGGCTTCGTTTATCTTCATTCCAATCTTCGGAGTTGTCCCTAATGAGCATCGACGTGCACAGTGGCAATGCTCTGGAGAACGCGAACAATCTAGTTGCTTGGCTCTCCTCTCTAGGCGAAGATGATTGGGTATCCTACCCGTCCAGTAGCATCGAACAATGCAGCCATCCGGATCGAAAGAGTAGGATCGTCGGTCTCCTAAAAGCCGTCAATACAGAGGTGAGTAGTTGTGATAAAGACTGTCCCGTGGCTTGGGGGCGCGGGTTGCTGACAATTATTTCGCGCAGACAACAGGTCGAGCGGCATTTATCCTCAGGTGCCGCGGGCCTTTCGTGGGAACCCTTTCCCCAACCCCGCGCGAAATGTTCCCCGGCGAAATCATACCCCTCCCTCAAGATCAGGATCCCGTATCCTACTTCAATAAAATCGCTCTCAGTCCGGGGGAGGGGTATAGGATTGTCGAGCCTCCGCGCATCGAAGTCGATTCTAATAGAGTGGTATTTTTCTTGGCTATTTTCACGAAAAGGGCGTAGAAAACTCGGCATCATCTAAGTTGATGCCATAATATGGAAAGAGTTCGCCTGGTTCATCCAGAATCGTTCCCATTGTGTCAAGATCGATTCGAAAATTACCTACCCTCGTTAGCCTGTCAAGTTGTCAGAAGAGAAGGAGAGAAGTGTCTACCATCATTGGAAGCAGTGCCCGATTCTTCCGTTCCTGCATCGAACCCCCGGCAACTGTTTGGATATGACAGCGCCTGCCCACCTGCTGTCCCTTCATTTATGTCTCCTTCTGGTGTGGCGTTTTCACACCTTCGAGATTTCAGTTTCCGGGGTGCGGGCCCAATGCGATTCCTCTGTGTTTGTGGACGTTCTTTTGACTGAAACACTCGCTGCACAATTTCAAGCAAGTCGCTATGTAGAGTGGCCCCAAATATATGCTCGACGAGCCCACTACTGTGGCTTTCTGGTAGCTTCTCCAGTAACGGCATAACTTTGGCGTCGTCGGATATTGCAACCGCGCTCGCGGCCAATGCCAGCGTCCCGCCATATGCGAAGAACTTCTCCCCCAATTGTGTACCATTTTCCAGGTTCTCTGGACAGCCCATAAGATGGAAGGCAGTGACAGCAGGCTGTCCACCGAGTGATTTGAGTTGAACCAACCTCAAGATGTCAGCAGTCTGGCTCTCATCCAGAGAAACATTGCTGATGGCGCTACTGATGGCGTTGACAAGTAGTATGCCGCCTTGACGCCAGATCTGGGATTCCCACAGATGCTCATCAATGGTTCTTCGTCTACATGCATGGACAACTGAGGCCAGACGGTCCGGCGTTTTGATCCGCGGGCGGCCAAGGGAAACGCGGAACGTTTCTTGAAGTTCGATGAGGGCAAGATCTGAGGCAGAGAGTGTGACATAGCGAAGAGCTTTGATCAGTTCTGTTCGAAGAGTATTGGGCTCTTTTTGGGCAGCTGATTTGACATCAAGCTGGCAGCCTAAGATATCGACTTGTATGGAAAGAGGGGAACAGGGAGACGCTTGTGTCTGAAGAGCCATGGTGAGTACGATATGGAAGAGCTTTCGAACCGTTGTACAGTCAATTCGAATCTTTGACTGGATTGTGGTAGACAAACCTTGGTACTTGTTATCATTTGGCAAAGCTAATTATGTACAAGTGTCATGTTTGGGACCCCTGAATATTGACATATGTCAAGATTCTTCACAGGACCCAGATGTGCCGGACAATGGGCCAATCACGTCGGGAGGCCCACTTGGTGGGAGTACACTCTTGATCCCTACTAGCTTCATGTCACCGTGAGTTCTTGTCCGTTTGCTAGCCAGTTACCATGAGATAATGGCCATTGCATCTTGCTTCGATCAATACATACCCTTTTGTTCGTCAGTACACAGCTTTATGGCGCCTATGGTCTAATCATCGCGTTTCGGTTTGTTTGAGCGTGCAGGAATTCGACTCACTTACCTTATCTCGTATTCGAAAATGTCTTCAGCCTCTGTTACTGGACCGCATCCATGCACCGAAGATGGGGAAAAGAGCCTGAAATCTATGATTCCGCGGCTTCTAGTTGGCAGCATGGATGAAAAGAATACGGTAATACCAAAAGCTCTCCTCACTAACGCACACGAGGTTGCGTCTGCATACGACCATGAGGGGGAATGGAACATGGCGGAAAACGTATGGATGGCAGCGTTCATGGTCTTGAAGGAAGAATTAGGTGAAGCGCATCCCTCTACTCTTACTTGCATGTCCAATCTCGCCGGGTGGCATCAACAACTGGGAAAGTACGATGCAGCAGAACAATTGGGTTTGAAAGCTGTGATGATGAGGATGGATGTTTTAGGAGATGAGCATCCTCACACGCTTTTCTCCATGTCTAACCTGGCCATGTTATACCAACGTCAAGGTCGTTATGACATGGCAAAAGAGCTCCAAGTGCCAGTGGTAGCTGCTATGAAGAAGACATTGGGCGAGGAGGATCCCAAAGCACTCATGAGCGAAGCAAATCTAGCTATAACATGCCTACGTCTTGGTCAATACCGTGAGGCTGAAGAGATGGAAAAGAAAGTCTTAGAGGCAAGAATGAGGATACTAAGCAAAGACCATACCGAGACGCTCACCTCCATGGCGGATTTGGCCTCCATTTACATGGAGCAAAATAAGTACGAGGAGGCAAAGCCACTGCTTCTGCGAGTCATGGACGCGAAAAAGCAAAGCCTAGGACCGAAACACCCCGAAACGCTCGCATCCATAAGCAACCTAGCATCACTGTATCTCCTGCAAGGCAGATGGAAGCCCGCAGAGAAATTATGGAGGTCTATAATACCAATGATGATAGAGAAGTTAGGCAAAGGCCATCCACACACTCTCACATGCATGGCTTCGTTAGCTACGGCATACAGCAATCAAGGCCAGTACCAAGCAGCAGAAGAATTGCTGAACGAAGTTGTTCAGACATGGAAGACATTATTTAGCATAGAGCATACAGGAACTCTCTCCTCAACAGAGAAACTAGCCTTGGTGCTTATGGAACAAAGTCAATACCAGGAGAGTGAGAAGCTTCTAAAGCAAGTGATAGAGACACGTGAGAGTCGCCTAGGAATAGAGCATCCCGACACGCTTCAGTCGAAAGCAAATCTTGCTCTCATATATGACAAACAAGGCCGATATGAGGAAGCTCAGCAAGCGGGCCTACTATTAGTGGGAACAATGAGCAGAGTGCTCGGAGAGGATCATCTCGACACATTGTCCACTATGGGCAATCTGGCTTTAACCTACAACCATCAAGGTCGTTGTGGGGAGGCAGAAGCTCTACAAGAGCTAGTAACACAAGGGACAACGAGAATCCTTGGCGACGAGCATGCTCAAACACTCACATCCATGGCGAATCTAGCCTTGACGTATTATGAGCGGGCGAAGTACGAAGAAGCAAGAAACATCGCAACAGAAGTCCTAGTCAAGGGAGCCAAAGTCTTTGACAACTCACATCCCACGAGGCTTTCCTAGTTGAACAATCTTGCAGTCTGTCTTCAGGAAGAGGGGCAATTTGAAGCAGGGCTTGAATTAGGGGAGAAAGTGATAGCCATGAGCAAAGAAAAGTTGGGGGATAATCACCCCGATACCCTTATTCAACTGTCAAACCAGGCTATGGCATACAATGGCCAGGGTAAACGAAAGATAGCAGAAGAACTCATGGCCGATGTGGTTCAGAAGTGCAGAATCAACTTGGCCGAAAGTCATCCTTGCACCTTGATAAGCATGTACAATCTAGCTCTGATACATATGGGACAAGGCGCGTGGCACGTAGCTCAGGGAATCTGGGTATCGATTGCAGATCCAATGAGGACGGTGCTTGGGGAGGAACACAAATGTACCATTCGATGCACGAGCTATCTCACCCTGATTAACAAAATGACCAACGATAGATCCGAAGTCGACTTATCGCCTTAGGTCTAGGATGAATAGTGTGAGCAAGGGTGGGGGTGGACCTTTCATTTGATATTCCTTATCAGTGAAATTCCATATGTACATAAATAGGTTACATTTTCCCTCTTATTTACACAGCCAGAGGGATCAGTATCTCAATAGGTTACTCTTATGTTGCCACCAAACGCGTGCTTGGATGGGATGTCGTAAGGCAAAGACTACCTAGGCACAAGTAGAAGTACGGTCAACTCGAAAGATGTACACGCATAAATTCACAGCCATCTTTTTTTGCTAGTGACAAAGATCACGGGCTTGTGTATGGGACTAACGCTGTGCTCTGGGGTGATTGAATGAAATGATTTTGGTACACTATAGGTATCCATGATATCTCAATTGTTCTTGGGTCTATCTTCGTCTGAAAAATCACAGAAAGGCGAGTTGTCATAGACCAGGATACGTGATGTAGGTGATATGTGGAGTATGCCCATATGTGTTTAGGAGGCTGCGAGAAGCCTTGAGTCTGCATCAGTATGATAAGGAACGCATGCATTATCCGGCAAATATCCGATGCTCCGCGGATCATTGCTGATCCGCTTTGCCCCGCCTTCTGGCGCCCAAAAATGGGATCCAAGCCATCTTCTAGTACCTCAGTTGCTAGTGTCACTATTGCAATCATTCTTTATTCCCGCTTCCTGCCGAAATTCCATCGGTGCTTCTAAACCTCATAACCAACGTATAATTTGCCCTCTACTAGCCATGAGTCACGAAGACACCATCACGCAGAGGTCGCCACGCGCTCGTCAGCGATCTTTGTCTCCCTTTTCAGCTCGTTTCGTCAAAGACTTTACTTCCAGACTAGCCCAGAGAACTAGATCTCGGTCACCTCCTAGGCGTCATCGCAGTAATGAAGCCAAAGAATTGATCGCCAATTTCAACGCTGACATGGAGCGTCGAAAGCAACTCACTCCAGAAGCGAGGCTCGAGGAGGATGGGCAAGCACTTTTGTCAGCTCTCAAGATGAGACCCAACACTCTTCTGACCCTACAATACACTCCACAGGTATTGTATCGAAGAGCCCGATGCCGTGCACAGGAGTGTCTCTATGGTCCCTCTGATGGCATTTATGCTGCCGAAATTCACGACAAATACCGCATCGCGCTCGAATGGGATGGCCGATCCCCCCCTGAATATTACCATGTTCGATGCATGGAATGCATGATACCCTTAGCAACCTTAGCCCACTCTCAGTTCAAACTTGAGGGAGAGCGCACGTGGAATCTTATGGTAGGCAAATGGATGGAACACCGTGGTCATATAAATGTTGAAAAGATCGTGGCATATATAGACAGGGCAACTGCATTTTCTCAATGGCACGGACAGACAATTGATGAGGTCTCCAGGATTAGCCTACACCACCAGGCCTCTTGTGCATTAGATCCGCCTCTCTGTGGCTGTCCGGAATTTCCCAAGGGCCCAAAGGTACCAGTACTGAAGGATTATATTGTTGATGAAAGCCCCAAATTGTGGGACATAATCTGTCATCCATATGAGTACAAAGAGCGATTATTTTATGATGACAGTCCGCCATGGAGGTTTGACTCCCCCGAGGATCTAGAGACTGATATTGAGGAGAATTCGAATGTTGGAGCTATCGTTCCAAAATGATATCCACCCACCATTCGGCAAATGCCAAACCACTTCATCAGCCCGACCAAGGTGTTGAGTATGCTTAGCTAGTCTGAATTTGCAAACGAATTAGACCCCTTCCTAATACCTCGCTGTATGTACTGTACAGTATGTAATGAACATCCTCCAAAACAACGAGGCTTTCAAGAAAAAAAAGATGGATAAATTGATCGATTGATCTTATGCATGTACAAAACGTGCTACTTTTCTAGATTGTTTCTAGATAAAGTGTACTATGAGTGAATGAAAGAGGGAGAGACAGACGACTAATTGTTTGAGAATTCCGTGCGGGTGCAGTTATTCATACGACCATATAAATAGCCGATGTTCGCAAATGCATGGGCTTCTTGGTGGTCATGCGCCGCTTGTATTGATTGGCAAGTGGGGCATGCATCAGCATATGGTCGCTGTCTGTGGAGAGCGGCTGAGTAGATGTTTGAAGCATAACCAGCTTCCTCTTTATAAACATATGCTGAACAGAGACTAGTTCACCACAAAGTATCGTCTCTTTTACAAAACGCACTATATACCAAGTCTACATGCTTCGCGACTTGGAACTCAAGTAGTTCTTTATTCCCATTTTCCGAACTTGGCCCAGAATAGGTACACTACCCATGTCGCAAAAGAGTCGCTCCTCCAGCGACCGCAGATTCATATGAGTACTAGTTGAATCCACAGGATCCTGATTTTACAGAGACTGATGGCCTACTTGAAGAAGGGTGGAAGGTTGATAATTAGTGCCTATAATCGGTTTGTCGTGATGCGATCAAAGGGAAAACACAAATGAAATAACATCAGGCACAGGGGGTCCGAAGCGCGTAGATTAGGCTGAGGCGGGTACCCACAAGCGTGATCGGTCCGACTACTAATCCGGTTACATCTAGTAGGCCAATCACATCCGACCCATACATCCAGATGAACGAGCAAAACTGCTTTGTGATTGGTCATTTTAGATGCTCTTGTGCTTGCCCCATTAAAACAAGAGAGGCAAACCGGTCACGGTTTGCGCAAAGGAGCCTTGAGGAACGAAGCTGGCTACTGTCATCTTTTTTATTCTTTTGTCGACTCTAATCACAGCCCCCAAGTTCGAAACTTAGGTGGTAAAGAGTTCGTTTGTGGTAGCGCCGTTTTAGCGTGGTGCCAACCAGCACATGATGTGGCTCCGGGGCCATACCCTATAACTTGAAATGTTTCACACTGTGATCGTTCGATGGCCAGAAGGGTGGTTAAAAAAATACCAGGAGACATTTTGTTCCAAGAAACTGTCATATGGGTTACTGCAATGATTATATGAGAATGGGAGGAATGCTAAGCAATAATATATAGAGCATTTCAGAAAGCGGTGCCCTCCATTGGTCATGAGTCACGAAGCCACCATCACGCAGAGGCAGCGGAGTGCTCGGTAGCAATACTTGTCTCCCTTTTTAGCTCGTTTTGTCAAAGGCTATACTTCCAGACTAGTCTAGAGAACTAGGTCTCGGTTGTGGAGTCATTATTGTAGGCAAGCTCCAACAAAGACGAAAAACTCATTTGTCAAAACAACCCACCCAAAACTCCGAATCCACCTCTGACGTATCAGATGGGGTGAGCTTCGGACTTCTCGATCTTCCCTGAGAAACTTTTGCATGGATAGCCTCTGTCTGTACGAGGCTGTTTCTCATGATCATTGAAGCAATAGTCTTTCTTTCTTCTAGCTCTCCTAATGTCTTCTCATCAACACGCACGTTAAACTTAGTAAAGGCTTGCTGCACGCAATCGTCAACGAAGGATGAAAACCAAGTATCACTTGATATTGATCGTGGGTATATGTCCTCCACAATAGCGATGAACTTTGATATGGCAATATCAGTACCAAGTCTTTTCAGTTTCTTTTGCATCAAGGGTACAAGATCATTAAGCCCATACTCGAGAGCTGCGGCATAACATTCTAAACAAGTTGCAAATTCTGAATGTTGCCACTCTTGAGGATCTGAGCCGTCAAACGGTAGATGTTCGTAAGACCCCGTGTACATAAAATGCACAATAACATGCGCAGTCTTGTCAGATACATTAAGCCGTATTAATGGTGTCGCACGAGCAGCCTGGATCATCGATAGGAGTTTGGGATACGGTTCCAGCGTAGAATGGTGAATGCTCAAAGTTGAGTCATGAGATGATATCCGTACAATGGAACTTATGTATGGCCTAAAATGCACAAGTTAATGTGATTGTATTGTAAGATATTTCAAATAGAGCGATTACTCACGAGACTCGGCTGTTTGCCGCCACAGACTGCTTTTTTGGACCCATAGCTAACGAAGCAATTTCGAATTTAAGGCGTTATACCACCAATTTTCCTCTATTAAAGAAGATAATAGCATGAACAGATAAAAATTAGATTGCTGGTGCATGTTACCCAGCGCAAGGAGCTCTTGTAATCATAGGAAAGGACATCAGTGCAAACAATATAGTACTTACTACTCTTTATAATTACCAAAGCTAAGCGCATACTAGATCAAAGGAAACAAAAGGTAGATCATATGCAAACGGAAAGCGGACAGCGTATGAAAACGGAAGGCAGATAACATTCCAGTACAACATATCGTCTCAGAATCAACCAACTGAGCCCTAAAACTCTACTTCCATACTTCTTCCGATCTGAGATGACTTGATTGAACCTCACTAATAAATTACGTTTCTGGCGTTTCACAATGGCCGACACGGCGCCTGCTTTGTGCGTTGGTGGGTCGCTCTGACACAGGGAGTTTAAGTAGTCCATTAATCACGTGATAGCCTTTGTGGCTCACAACGATACCAACATGACCTTAAAGCCTGTCTGACAGGGAAAATCAAAGCCTGTTCAACACAAAATATTTGGTGAATTGATTTGACTGTATAGAATTCAAGTGGGGAAAAGGGGGTCTCATGCCTCCGAGGGTACACTAGTGCTAGATGCGGCGATAATTCAGGTTTCAAATTCCTGTAGGTTGGAAAGAATGGAAAACGAGGTACTATTTTAGTATGCTCTTTTTAAACGAACCTGTATCATACTCATGCTAATCATAGCCAAATCCTATTTGCCTAGCGACAGCGGTAGTCATAAGTAGCTATTTAGTTCTGCATCTGTAGCTACCACACGCGACCATGAGGGAACCAGTACATATCAACTCTAGGAATAATTAGGTAATCTAACGACTTTTGCCATATCCATGATGTCATATTGGCCACGAGGCCAAAGCTTGGCTGGCACGGGATTGTCTGACGGGTGTGCTATACCTTACCGAAGCGTGAGTGTATAGCACGGTATGAAAGGCAGGTAGTACGTCATACTGAATCTCCTACTGTGATGATCTTCGACAGATGAGTTAGGAGCTGAGAGGGAACTTGAGTTAGAGTATTAAATCTAGTGACAAACGACCTTCGTTTTGCCTGGCACCCCATGCCTCTCAAACTTCATGGTAGAGCGGGAGACAAAATTTACAGCAGAATACGGGCATTTGACCTTTTACCGAGGTATTGTATCAATCTTGATAGCAGTACCCGCCATGTCACGTAGCATTTATAGCACACTGAACAGTAAATGGCAGTGAGGAGTGGTTCTTTCGGGCCATGATGTTACCTTTCCCTAGATGATATAGGGCTATGGAGCGAAAGCCTACCGAACATCATGACTTGGCCGATTTAAGGTTGCTGTATCGGGCCCGTGTTAAAGTTTACCTCATAAGTCGGGCCTATTGAAATCACCATCTGAGCAACATAACATCGTTTGCGTCTGACATCTCCAGAATACTTGGCTCGGAGATGCCGATCTGGCCTTCGAATTGGATAGCCGTATGAACACTGTAGCCACGTCCAAACTCCTATTGGAAGATGAGGAGTTATCTATGACGAATGCTCGATCGGTGGGCTTGGGAGAGTAATGGTGTGATCGCTTGAGAGCATCCAGCTATATTGATGCAGGTTTTGAAATATAAGGTCCCCTGATGTGTTTTCAAACATTGCTTGTGATATTTCTCTAAGAATTTTCTATCCCTGTCACGATGCGAGGCCAACAAGTTATGGAGAGAATTATCCAGCGCAAGTTTCGCAATCCTAAACTGCTAGAGGAAGCTCTCATAGCAGCAGGGGCTGATGTTGAGCCCCCAAAGAACAATAAGAAGCGACAAGGAAACAAAAGACTTGCTCTAATCGGCGATGCCGTCCTGAGGCTCACTCTTGTTGATGACGGGATCTTGCTGGGGAAAACTACTGGTAAGCTGCATTATTTCCGCTCGTCCGACTAAAAGTAATCTTCCAGCCAGGGCAGTGTCAAAGTATCTGTTCGGCTGAAGCCTCAAACGCTGCTCTGTTTCAAATTGAAGAGCAACATCACCTCGCGCCATTTATTCAGACATCTCCGGCGCAAAAGGGTCATGTGTCTCCAATCACAGGTGCTACTACTGTTGAGGCGCTCGTTGGCGCAGTCTGGCTCGACTGCGGTCGAAACTATGCTCACGTACATGAGATTATCCATGGTCTTGGCGTTGGCGAAAGTCTCTTGAACGACCGTAATCATACCTATGGGCCCCAGGTACCACATGAGGAACAGAGCCGTGTTGAGGCAGGATCTCACGCATTGACCTAGCCATTTTTCGGGATTGCTTCCTACCAGAGTCGGGCTGCGCAATGAATGGCATACTGTACCCGTCTAGCGTCCTTCAAATTCATTCCTAACGCATGTCTGATTGGTATGTGTATAAAATTCGCAAAGCGATGTCACCCCGATTAAAATATCAAGAATCCAGAAGACACGGCTCTTCCCCAATCAGTGAGTTAGCCTTTCTTTAAAAGTAAATGTAAAATACAGACTGGCAGTACTCTCCAACTTGAAACTGCTTATTCTATTCTCTATGATATTGAGAAACGATGTGCCCATGACTATAAATGTACTTTTATGAGGAAACAGCTCCTCCATCATCTGGATTGAAGGTTTATTAGCTTTACTGGCTAATTTAAGAGTTGGATGCGTAAGGCTTGCAGAAGAGTGGCAAAAAAAAAGTGAAAGACTATCTAAATACCAAGACAAGAAGAAGAGTAACAGAGTTCTACACACTGTAGCTGATTGATATTTTGGGGTAAAAAATAAAATAGGTGCCACGAATGAGAGACACAGGAAATGTCTATTCAAGAGTACCGTGGAAAAACTCCAAGCTCATGCTACTCACTGGATGCTTGTGCTCAGCTAAACTTCTTATATTTACTAGAAGAGATTTGTTCAAGCCTTTAAGCATACTATTAAGTTCCACGTGATATTATGTACGAAGATTATAGATTACTGATCTGGCACTCTCTCTCCGATGTAAATTGCAAAGATATTACTTTGCTCGCCTAGCTAACGAGGGATACATAATATTGATAAACTTATGCTCTTAATATGAACACTTTGCCCGAAGTTCTTCCCAAGGGGGCTAGCATTCTGGTAGACCAGTCCCAAAGTGTGCGAGGTTAGACTGGTGGCTAGCGTATGAAGCCTTCTTGCAAGGGCGGTCGCTACTTAAGTCACTTAAGTTATCTCACTGAGAGGGGTGACTTACTGAATTTAATCTTGAAATAGAACCCAGTTAGCTTCAATGACGTGCGTATATTGTGTAAAGTCATGCTATTGGCGACACTGATCACCGCATTCCGTCGTACAATTCACGAGGCTTATTGAATGATATCAAGGCTCTTTGAAGGCAACTTGTGGGGATGTTTGTCGATGACACCCTCTCTTTGGAAACGCGCTCGGGAATAGACTCCTGCTTCAAAATACAATGTACCTTCGGAGCAGAACACCTACATAGTCATTTTTTTGCTTCTAGTTCTCACCGAAATGCCATTAGTGCTCTTAAACATTATAGCCAATGTAGAATTTACCCTCCATTAGTCATAAATCACGAGGACACTGTTACACAGAGGTAGTGGCGCGCTCGCTAACGATCTTTCTCTCCCTTTTCAGCTGGTTTTGTCAAAGGCTATATTCAGATTAGCGTAGAGAACTATCTTGGCTACTAGATAAGCTCCGTCGTAATGATCAAGCAAAGGCATTAATTGCTAATTTCGACGCCGACATGGAATATTAAAAGCAGCTAATTCCTGAAGAGAGGCCTGAGGAACATAGATAAGCACTTTCTCCGCCCTAAAGTCTAACTAGACTAGTAAACAGGAAGCGCCAAATTGCATAAGTTTTGAGCACTAGGTACTATATATCTCAGTATCCCCATCTCTCCTCGGTTGGACCGGCTCAAATCTGAAACTCAAGGCAGGCTCCTACTCAACCTCGGAGGCCTTGGCACTGGTGCCTGAAGCCGTCTCTTCCTCGCGAATTTCTAGCTTAGCCTTCCTCTCGTCCTCCTTACTCTTCTTCTCCTTCTTTTTCTCCTTCTTTGAAATGCCTTTCCTTTCTTCTAGAGCAAGTGGTTCCAGCGTACCCTTCTGTCTGCCTATTCCTGCTGCAGGGATTACTTCAGCCTCCGCACATAATGCATCCGTGGTTCCAAGAGAGCTCTCGATTTGCCCCCTTTCGGCTTTGCTGCTAAAGCTGGAGCCCCGAGCCTCATCCAGTTTTTGCCTCGTAATCAATTGGGTAAGTCTTGTTTCCAGTTTCGGATTGAGATGAGGCTCATCTAACTCTAGATACTCCCTAAGATCTTTAATTTGAGTCCGCTTTGAAGGATCATGCCTGAAGTTTTGAAGCAGAAGCATACGAATATCTGGATGGTTTTGGAGAAGTGTGTCCCAGTCTCCTATGGTACCGGACAGTTTTCTTGGATTTTCAAAGTATTGTATGACAAAGTCCACGTAGAACTGTCTTAACTTTGCAGCTGGTGCAGTGTTGTCCCAAGCGTACTGCACGTCATTGCAGGGCACGGCCCTGCCGAAAGATGTAGCTATGTGCTGGCCGTAGAGACGGCTCAGCGCATAGTTTTTGAACTCGCTGCATAGAAGTTTGTCACCAAGAACATCTAATCGATCCATTATTCCCGTCTCCAGCTCAGGAAATCCCTCGTGGACACAGAAGAAACCCTGAAGAAATATAGAACGAACTACGACTGCTAGCCGAAGAAGCAAAGCGATGGCTTGCGGTCTTATGATCTCCTGACTTGATGAGGCCCATTTCCGAGACCCATTCCGAGGCACAAACTCCGTAGCTGAGCGCGTAAGAGTGATTGGTGCAAAAGCGGGACGGGCAATGCTTTAGGGCTCTTCTTGAGAAACGCATCGCTACTCAACCAGTGCATGTAGAGCGCGAAGTAGCCTCTTTGGCAACTTTTCGGCGTTTCGAAGGGGGATGATGCCCCCGCGAATTTCCGATCATCGCCTTGCTCCGTTCCACTAACATGGCGTAAGCGATCTTCTCAGTCAGAACTCCTCAGGAGCTTGAGCGATTGTCAGAAGAATAGGGCCCAACCATATCAAAATCTTCAAGTTGCTGGTCTGCTCCATTCGAAATCAGGTCGTTGCACCCTCCGAAACGATCCCCTTGGACTTATTTCTGCTGCCGTCTCTGCCGACTTCGACTTCTATCGCGTCAACCTCTCCTGACGTTAGCCCTCGCCGACGAACTAGACGATGTCCTCGTCTAGGATCAAGTCGACACCACCATAACCGAATCTACCCCGCCTCCCCGACCGGTAGCCTCTTCCATCCAACGAACCCCATGGCTGCGCAATACGAACAGCTTTCGCGAACTCGTCCGAATATCGCAAATAGCTGGATGATATGCTTAAGAACGAGCTTGGCCCATATATGTCGGGCTCGGCAACTTCCACGAGACATGGCCGTCCCCAAGATAGCATCCGAGGCGTTCTTCCAGCAGTGCCAAAAAGGCAGCAACTCGCTCTTAGACAACGCTTAATTGGCGCTACATGATGAGAACCTACACAAACGCCATACCTGGCTCTATACTGGAGATGGAACACAAAAGCGCGACTCCACCATTCATATCGCCACACTAATGATGCCATAGATTCAAAAATATGGTAAGTTCTATCAGATGTAGTTCCTTTTTGCCAGTTTATGCCACGGTAGATTAAATTACTATCTCCGTCTCTACACGGAAACCAAAACGCCACTACTTCCTACCCTTCCTCCTCTTAGCAACACCTAGACCTGTAAATGAAGTACCTGGAGTGCCCCTTTCCTGCCCCAAATCGCTCAGCTGGATGTCCTTTTCAACTTACAGCGACACAGTATCAGCATCCGACTACGACAAATGATAGCTCTCTAAGCTCTGGGAAAGGCCGGTTTCCGAAAGCGGCGGAACATCGAAGTCCAAATTGCATGGCAACTGGTCGATAGCCGAGGGCAAGTGTTTCCGCTGAAGGAACGACAAGACGGGACAAATCCTCGATAACCCTAGCCGCATTCCTCCCCTAACCCTAAGTTGTTTTTCATTGCTGAGGAGGTCCCCAATAAGGCGCTTGCTCGTATCCGTGATGCCAAGCTCGGATATGTCCATGAAGCTGTCCTTGGTCCCAAGCAGATCTCGGTAGGGTGCACTCTTCTCTTCCCTCGCTTCTGATAGCTGGGTGTCGTGGATGTGGCAGAACTTGATCGCTTGCGACCAAGGGATGACAAAGACTTCTTCCGGGCAAGTAAGTGCTCTATATCAAGTTCAGAATATTCTTGCGGCCACTGTCCTTGTCTTGCCCAAAATTCGATCGGGCTGGTCGGCTCGTAGTTTGTCGCGGGTTTGTCTGAAGTAGTCTCCACGCGAGAGAGCTAGGAGATCGCCGAGTCCGCTTCGGAGGAGTCAAAGTTGCGATCGAGTGCGTCAACGCGTCGTTTCGTGCTACGCTTGCCAGGTGTCCGGGAAACCTTCGATGAATTAGTTTCGGTGCCTATACAGTAGTCCACAAATGGTGTACTTGTTGAGATAAAATCTTCTTAACCGAATATGGATGCAGTTGATCATAGTTAGAGCCCTCGCGAGTCGGTTTCTGCTGGAGACGTGTCGTGCGACGGGTGATTCTGTGCTTCTGGATGCCCTGGGGCCGCTTTCCTGTTTATTGTCAGCGAGGATATCGCTCAGCGCTTCAGGAAACGTGTACCCTGATCTTTTGGCGCCGACAATGCGCGCCCCATCTGGGCAGCCAACTGTGCTCGAGTGTGAGCCATAGCGAGTGACAATGCTGAAGGGACGTGATTAATTTTTGCGGGGGTCTCCCGGATCGCAAGAGGAGTGGCGTTTTGCCACGTTTCGTTTCGCGCAGAAGCTGATTACCCAGCCACACTGTAATCTCTGGAGAAGCTTCATTCCTTGGTGCTTAGTCAGCCTCAAATTTGTAGACTAAGCCAGCATTCACAATTTGCTTAACGACGATATGGCGTAGCGAAACTTGGGGTCGTCCAGAGTAATGGAAACCTACCCTTGCTGTGAAGAATGATCAAGACGGAATAGAGGGGTCATTTCATGGCGGCAATACCGCATAGAAGCCTGCGAAGCCACATCCCCGACCCACAATTCGGGATTACGTCAGCATTGAATGAGCCACCACTTGCACCTAACACGAGGGATAGCCAACCAAATCCCCGGCCCGAGGACTGTGGTTGCCTTCGGTCCAATAGCTTACAGCCGGGAAGCCGAGGTCGCTACGGGAAAGCTTGTATGGGCCTGTGCTATATACGTCATGGTTCATTCAGAGAGAATACGGATAAACAATCAAAGATTGGACAATGGAGAATAAGTTGATAGCAGTGACAGGTTTCATTACCACAATAAGCCCTTCCCTCTTCATTTCAGCCTATAGAGACACACCTTGACAAACTCACCTGCAAGGCTTGTAGCTCTCTGGTGAAAACATCTCTCTTATCCTTCTCAAGCGTCCGTTTTCTCTTCCGATTTTGACCGCTGGGGCTGATAGGCCCCAGAGGTTGACGAGTATGGATACTTGCCCGCTCAAAGTCCACGATCATACATCTGCTAATGCGTACGTCGTAGAGAACATTACGTGGCTCCGCATCGCAGTGTAGAATATGGCGCTTGTGTAGTTCCGTGAACGCAGTGACAATCTTATCGACGATGCCCGCCTTGGCCTGTACGGACTTGAAGACTGGTCGGCCGGCGTAACTCATAAACAGAAAGTGCTTAAATACGCCACTATCAAAGTAGTATGGCTCAATGAGGTCCACTGTACCGAGGCAGACTGGGACGTACTCCCCCTGCAGGGCACGAATGCAATCATAGACTTCATTTTCATGACGCAGCAGCGCAGCATCCATTCCTTCAACGCCTTTCGCAACAAGAGTGTAACCATGAGACGACAGACGCACTTTGAAGAGCGATCCGCGTGATCCTGATAGATGGAGCGGCACACAATCGGCCTCGGGCCCACGATCCACTGCGAGTTGGCTGCGAATCAAAACAAGAAATTGTTGTTGGTCGATGTGGAAGCTTCCGTGATCCGGCATATTGGGGCATTCTTTGTCAATTGGGTCACCGAACGCTAGTCCACGTAAACACTTATGAGTGCAGTATGGCCGGGCTTGAATATTCTGTCGCATAGAGTTTCCTCGCTGAGTTCCGCCACGATCTTTAATCTCGCCCGACCTGGTGTCTTTTGGGATGGCCGGCGGTTCTTTGCGACGGTTTGCCCGGTCGAAAGTTGGCGAAGGACTCTCGTGATGGTCGTTTTCATCATCACTACTCGGTTGCCGTGTTCCACCTTCTGCCGGCAAGCATCGAGACCGTGTCCGAATCGGGGAGCGCTTGAATCCCTTCCAACGCTGTGGTTTGTAAGGAGTTGCACGCTTCTCCTTACGCTTTGTCTCAGGGATGCTCCTCAACACATCCTCATACTCTACACACCATATGTCGAGGTTCTCGGCAGCGCTGTGCCAGGCTTGCGATGGCAGTGGCGATCGGATGGCCTGAAGGACAAAGGCAAAGACTTGTGCGACAGCCGTACGATGGAGTCGCGTCTCGTCGTCGTCTTGGAAATCTAGACTCGGTACGCAGACGGAGTAATAGACGCAGGAAGGATCATCCGGAATGTGGAGGAAAACATACGTCTCCCCTGTGCACACATATCCGTATCGGATGCCCTTGCCTACCATGTAGGAGAAGAGCTGGGTCACAACGGCGGTGGCAAGCCGTTTCGCCGCGAATGCAAAGCCTTCACCATCCTTGTTGATTATATCATGATCTGGTTGAATCTTCGATACCAGGCCTGTGACAACTTCATCCCGACTTAACTTGTGTGGTGGTTTGTATTCGATCGCGACTGTTGGGATATTTCGATCGTCGGAGGTACGGTATATGCAGAACTGATCTGCTCGATTGCCTTTGCCCCGCGCCTTCCGGCGATGAGTGGCTCGGTTGGGTGGTCTGGGGAGTTGCGTCGTCGCTGCTTCACTGCTATCGGTGCCCATAGACATTTGCTCCATAGACTCAGAGAGTGACTCCTCGGCGTTGCCAAGATTAGTGTGGCTTTCGAACGTTATAGTTCCGTGAAGGCCGAGACGGCTCCTCAGCGACGGGTCATTATATGTCTCGTCCACCAACTTCTGGACTGCGTTTTCCACGACATCACGCTGAGAGTTGCGGAGACCAAGCTCGCTACTAACAGGATGAAGCAGGGACCTCACATATTCCAACTGGTGTCGGGAAGGAAAGGCGGTTCGGGAAGAAAACGAGGGACTGAAGGAGAGCTGATGCCAAACTTCTTCTTGTCTCGTTGGGAATGTAGTCCATGGGATGATGCGCTGAGGGTAGATTCGGCCGGTCGGATTCGTCGTCTCCCCTTGTGTCGTCAGGGAACGGTCGCTCACGACTTCGATAGTGGTGCTGAGCGAATGACATGTTTCAAGGTATTGGTGAAGTGTCAGTGGCTGTGATGCACTCGCACGTTCTTCAGCCTCCTCGCGTCGGCGTTGCTCTTCTTCCCGTTGCAGTTGTTCTTCCAGAACGCGGCCCTCGGCCTCTTCACGACGGCGTTGCTCCTCTTCACGTAGGCGTTGCTCCTCTTCACGTAGGCGTTGCTCCTCTTCACGTAGGCGTTGCTCTTCACGGAGCTGCTTTCGCAGCTTTTCGAGTTCGTCCATAGAAGCTGACAAATTTCTGTACAACGAGTATGGATTAAAATGTGTCAGTAATCGGTTTGTTATGAGAAAACCCAACCCAAGAAACGGGAACAAAGCATTAGCGGGAAAACATCGGCAGTCGCCCGGCCAGCCATGGTGTCACACAGTTATGTGGGTCATCCAATTACAACGCTTGTAAAAGCGGGACTGAAAGATGCCGGTGCACCCGGTTTGGTAGCGGTTCGCCGCTTGCCTTTCTTGTACTTTCTCCGAGTGGGGAAGGAAAAGCTATTTTCCATACCATTAGTAAGCACAACGCACTGATCCCATACGTGCGGTCACAAAGCGGAAGGATCTGCAAACAGCTTGCCAGTGGGCATCTGCGAAGTCGCTGGCGTAAATGCAAATACTTCCTCAACAAAGTTAATACTATTTTAAACCTAATATTTTCTTACAGCTTAATATGCATTTTAATTTAGCCCCCTTGAACTAGAAATAAAGGCAACGCATAGGTATTATTCTACTAAACCCACTTCAGTGATTTATCTCGGGCACATGCTTCCTCCTATATCCCATATAAAATTTCCATAAATATAAACCACTACATTCCTCGCCAGCTCAACACATTACTCGCCGCCCAACCTCATGTATTAGAAAAGTATGTCCCTCCTCTTAGATGCCCTCATCCTACCTAACCAGATACCAGACAGACCATAGTCAGCCTATACATCTCGCGATTATCATACCAATTTGCTGCATCTATAACTAAATACTTGGTCTAACAAAGCATGCAGCGTGAAAGGTTTGTCTAGCCACTCGATCAGCCTCATCAGGTCTATAATGCTAACTTCATGACGGTAGCCATACTTTCCTCGCTCGGCTTTGTGAACAGGCTGAGCGTTACGACGATATGGTCCCCCATCTGAAGGAAGTCATCAGCGCGGGTGGTGAGCTCAGTATCAATGAGCGGGACCTTCTTGCTATTGCTTATACGAAAATGGTCTGCACCCGCCGTTCTAGCTGGCGCAATGTCTTATCGATCGAACAAAAGAAACAGGCAAGGGGTGAGGAGAGGCATGTTGCTACTATCCGTGGATACCGCAAGAAGGTTGAAAACGAGCTCGAGAGGGTCTGCAGGGACATCTTAGATCTGCTAGACGGGAGCCTGATTCCCAATGCTGGTACTACCGAGTCGAAAGCTTTCTATTACAAGATGTATGTCTACTTTACTGGTTGTTCCTTATTTGAACCACTTGGGCTGACTTGCTCTGTTTTTAGGAAGGGTGACTACAGTCGTTACTTGGCCGAGCCCGCGTCGGGTGAAAAGCGCAGGGCTGCAGTCACTTCTGCCAACAATGCCTACAAGGTGGGTTCCAAGCCTATTGCCTCGGCTTTGACTCAGATAAGGGTATTGATTGGATATTTCATCTTACTTCAAAGATTGCCACCGACATGGTTCAGCCCGAGTTTACAGCCTCTCACCGGTTGCGGCTAAGCTTGGCCCTCAACGTCTCGGTCTTCTACTACGAAATTCTAAATTTACACGATCATGCCCGACATCTTGCAAAGTGTGCCTTTGATGACGCTATTGCTGAACTCGACGCGCTTGCCAAAGAGCCTAATGACGAGAGCATCGCTATCATACACCTCCTCCGTGACAACCTGGTCCTCTGGACGTCTTCTTACAATGGTCAGCAGGGGGTCTCTTCAAATCAATGAAATTCATGGAGAAAATTTCTGTAACGTGTTAAAATGACTGAAAGCAAATAAGATGTTATCCGTCGCACGTGATACCCTTTACGTGTGTCAAGCTCTGCCGACGTGAGCACGTGAGTGCGTGACATGTCGCATATTGTGCACATTCCATATCTTCTACCAACTAAAGACAGGAGCCAAGCTTCGTTCCTCAATGCACTTTTTGGGTAAACCGCAGAATTTGCAGAAAAAGTTATTGCTGCCTCTATAGATACAGAAAAAGCTAAGAAGAGAAGGAGGAGGGAAAAAAGGGGCGGTGGAGGTTGTGTTCCTAAGAACGACAGGCTCTCGAAGAATAAGCCAGAATATTTTATTTTTAAGTTCGCTGGAACTTCCCCGATTTGGCGAAACTCTCAACATTCCCACCCCAAACGCGCATAATTTCCTTACTCGGGATATGTTTTTACATTGTTTTTAAGCGAGCCAATGACCGCTTACGTTTCTTTGTATGGAGCGGTTCCGAAGATGTCTTGCGCTTGGAAGCTGTGATCTAGTTCCGAGAGCGATCCAAAAAGCAGGGGATTTATCGACAAACAACCCCACAAGTTGCCTCCGCAGCTCCTCGATGTCATCCAATGAGCCTAATGACTTGGGCGAAAGAGGGCGGATGGTCAGTGTCGGTCCTAGACTTCAAAAGTAAGGACTCGAAACCTAAAACTTGGTCAGTGGTGTCCATAATAGAGTTCGCTAGAACCTTCCGAACCAGGTGAAACTCTTTACATTCCCACGGCACAATTTCCTTCTTTGGGAAAAAATCTTATGTTTTCTGTAAATGAGCTTATCAACGCTTAATTTTATGGCTTATCTTGAGGCTGTGCCGAATGACATAGAGGAGATCTCTGCCCTCAGCCACAGCTACAGGGTAAGTCTAGCTTATTGGCATTCGGCGATGTTCCTTTATCTCCTCTCTACCATACGTTATTTTGTTTGCAAAAAAAAAAAAAAACGGTAGCGTATTCTATTATAATGATGCAAAATGTATCTGTAGAATACTGACCTAACTCTTGTAGTGTAACTTACGAGGCTAAGGCAAGGCAGTACACTTATCATATCGACACTCAGGACTACTGAATGCGGCAATCTGGCTCCCTGGGGGCGGTCAACGTAACCCAACAACTAGCCATCTTGCTTTGCCACTTCCCCCCTTCCCCTTCAATTTTATAGTAGAGGAGTCATAGTGTAAATTGTAGTCTTATCTACTAGGTCAGATGATGGGCATCTTACAGCGGCCCCTGTCTATCTGATGAATGAGTAGCAGAACTCCTACGGGCGTGGGCCATGAACAGTTGACAAGCTACATCAACTGCGCCAACTCGACGCACCAAAGTGACTCCCACGGCTCAATCGTCGACTGGTATGGTCCTGGGAGGTCCTTGGCCCTAATACGTCTTAGGGGTGCTTCTCTGCTTGGGAGGCTAAACTTGAACATTCGTTGCATTACACGTACGAGACTCCTACACGCTGCAGCGTCTGGGGACGTGGTACGCTTCCAGGAGCTGACGGCTGCGGGGTTGGATCCGATGATGGAGAACAACATGCAGCAGACGGCGATTGATATAGCAGCGGCTGCCTGCAATAATACTGTCCTTGAGAGATTTGAGAAGAAGACAACAAGGTAGGATTGCATGATCTGCAAGGCCCACCCGGCACCTGTGGTGAGCCACGAGGCGTCGGTTCTGCTGCGACAAGCCCATACTAAAAGGCTGAAACAATGATATTTGACGTCCTGGACTCTTTCATTGAGGATCGTTCGACAGCCGGGTTCAGGTACTACACGATGATTACACACAGGACCGAGTCGCGGAGATCAGCCTTGCACTCATATCCCTTGGGGCACTTCTTTGTGTTGATGACGAAGCCACCACAGGATTTGAATTCCTTGTTCCAGACGCAATGACCAGCGCATTTGCGGAAGTTGTTGCAGTTGGGCATTGTCGGGACTAAACGGCCTTAGCTTCTGCTCTTAGACTTTGGGATGGTGTCATATCTCCCGTGTGGTTGGTGGTTGGTGTGGAGAGAGATGGAGGGCCCCCAGAGGGGGGTAGAGGAGGGAACGGATCAAGCGGAGCAACCATCCCCTTTCGTCTTTAGAAGGTTGCCGGGCTTGGCTCAATGCAGCATAAGGCCGTTCCCAAGGTTTGCATTATTGGAAAAGAGGCATCCTATTTGCGAGATGTTCTCATCGCATCACTTATCTGACCGGGGTGTTCTCTCCGACGGATGAAGAGATGCATTGCGTTTGAGGAAAGGTGGTCATGGGGGAAGCGAAATAAAAAGTAGGTTTCCTCTGTCTCGTCTTCGAGAGCTAATACATATCAGACAGAGCAATCCCCTCAATAATCATATCTTAAATCATTTTCTGCCATCGTTCTACTTCTACTTCTACTTCCTCTTCATTCACCGTCACACACAAAGAAAATATACCCATCCACTCAATGCCAACCCCAACGATGGAAAAGCCGCAACGCGCACCGGTGGAGTTTCAAGAGGATATCGGCAACAGCAACCCTGGATCCGTCGAGGAGACCAATGCTTTCCATAAAAAGAAGACCCGCAAGAGCAAGAAGTCAGGCATGGCTCTCGATAGAGTTGGCGGCGTCGGTGGTGTGCAGAACCTCGCAGACGACGCTCTCGGCAGTGTCACCAACACTCTAGGGTCCGTCAGCAGCCAGGCTTTGGAACAAAATCAGCAACGCGGCGGTAAGAGTGATGCTCTCAGGCTACGACTTGATTTGAATCTGGATGTTGAAATCCAGCTCAAGGCACGGATCCACGGTGATATAGAACTTGCTCTTCTGTACGTAACCAGGCCCTTCCCCCACCAGCATTGTCTTCACTTGTTTCTCCTTTATTTCCCCTACCCCAGCCCAATGTTCCTTCGGCGTTTCATCCGTCTACATATCACCAAAGAGAGTGAGCCTCATGGGTCTTATCGACATATATTGTCTTATGTGAACCTATTATCACAGCACTGGATAAAACTACCATCAATAAATCAAATGTTTCGAGACACTGCAAAAAGAGCCAATTGGCTAATTTATTTCTTTGTTCTTTTCTATCGGTCTTCAGGAACTGAGACAAGGCTATCAATTCTGTTATTTTGTTATACACATTTGCTGATGCTTTTGATGTTTTTTTGTAAAGGGATACGGCTTGAAAGGAGTTAAACCTTACACCTTCAAAAAAAAAAATAATTCATGGCTTTGGCTACGGATTGAAAGACTGTATCATGGTGGACTTGTGTATTTTTTTACTACTACAACCCAAAACGATACGACCGATTTGCGATGCAGCCGAAGACACGAAATGAGGTTTAGTTTCCCGTCCGTCCAGCGGTGAAGTGTTCGTCGTTGACTGTCAGCCCTGCAAATACTCGAACCGACGAACTAGACTGACATAACTTCAAGTGGGTTTCACCCGACATATTTGCACGCCTTCGCCCGGAATGCTCTATATGCCTATTGTTTGTAGGACACAGTTCCATTTACTACCCCTATACCATGAATTGAGACGGAGGAGTTGTGTGCTAGCTAATAGGACGAAGGCGCAATTGTCCTTGCAGGCTTATATAAGCGGTTCGGCAATTGGTGTAAGAAGAGATGAATGTGCGGGCTAAATAACGGGGAGCTGAAGAAAGTTCCAGCATGACGCTTCTCGCTCGGGATCTCGTTGCGGTCGTTGCGAAGCCTCCCTCACATCTCTGTCAGACGATACTGTGAGTGGAGCAGTAGTGGACTTTGTGAGATTCTCATCATAGATGATGACGGTTGGGTGAAGCTTGAGTTGATTTGTGGCAACGTCAGCAATTGATTTGTTGTCTGTGTAGCGCAAACGTTCAGAGCGCCCAACAAGGTCTCTGCCACTGTACGTCGTGGGTATGCATATATGAGGGATTCTGTCTCCTAAGCCGACAGATTGGGCCAGAGCATGAGCAAATTCGCCGCCCACACTGATGACACAGTCGGATCTAGTAACAGATGCGACGGCTGAGAGTTTATCCGTGGCAACCCGAGAATCCATGCAGCGGATTAAGGATTGGATCCGGTTTGAGAGGCTCAAACAGGAGGAATTAGACACGATGAGAGGGGCAGACAAGTGTAGCCTAGCCAGCACGGCGCGCAAGCGGCTGATAGCATTCTGTCCGATAATAACATGTGGGGACGAACCTCGGGGCCGCTTACGCGGTCGGGGTCGGGTGCTGGTAACAGCTCCCCTGGGCCGAGCCGTGTCTACCGAGGGCGACAGAATGGCCTTGATGCTAATAGTATCCGGGTCGGGAACTAGTAGAGGCGATGGCGGCATTTTATTAATGCTCGAGCGGGCCATGACTGCTAGAAAGGACGGGCTTTATGGGCTGGGTGGAAGATTTGAGAAATCAAAGGCGGCAAGAAATGTCTTGATGCTTAGGTTGGGATAATATGGGCTCTACAGGTGCACGGACGGTTAAGAAAGCAGATACTTAAATCGGTGAGCCTCGTCATAGTCTTATACCTAATTATTCTCTACGGCTAAAGTAGCGGTAGGAAGAGCCTCGGAGCATAATGTCCGTGCTAATTCTGCTCAAATCAATAAGGTACTCGAGTGCCAAGAAATAGGGGCGGTATAGGCTGTACGCTAAAAGAGAGGGGAATCCCTGGATCCCGCAAGACCCTGAAAATGACGTTATAGGAGGGAGACTCGAGGACCTGACATCCTTGTCGGAAGTAGGTCCTCCTTGTAAATTTTGTTGATCGGCGTGGCTAGCGTCAACTCTCGACGGGATGTCCCTGCGGAATTGAAGCCAGCGGGCGCTGCTGGCTGTTTCAAGTCCAGCCATGTCTATCTTTTTCCCCATCCATTACCCCTCGTGTTTCCCTTAGGCATGGTGCAGAGGAGGGCCTAACATGAGTGGGCTTTGGTTAAGCGCATGGCTACTCTTATTTTACGAAGAGGGTGGAATATAGTACAGAGAGCTTTCATGTAGCTTTGATAGAGTGATAGACCCAATCATTTACTCTGTCTTACTCCAAGGCACGTCACTTCAAGAATCTTTGGGTCCCTTTCTTCTCCACTTAAAACACGACTGCTACTGGTCTATCCCTACTGGAAACAATGACGTAGAGAATGATCAGCACTTATTACATCATCTCACGCCGAAAGAGCTTCTGCCTAAAGCTTCAATCCCTGGTCGATGTGGGTGCTGAAATTTAAGGTGGTATTTTGGTTCGCTCTTGGACCCTTTCCAAGGTTGTATAGTTGTACAACTCATGAACGCCATTGACGCTCGGCGAAGGATAAACCTGCGCCAAGTACGTCAGCATGAAATAATGGATCAGGACCTCCCTCCTCGCTAGAGATATATCCTCTTCTTAGTCAATTCTGATTTTCGCGTTATCCTCTGTTCCCGGGAAATTAATTTTTACCTCTACCAGCAATGGGATTTGAAGCTCCTAATGTTTTCTCTCCAACACGCACGTTAAACTTATTAAGGCTGGCTGCACGCAATCGTCAAAGAAGGATAAAAACCAATTATCACTTGATATTGATCGTGGGTATATGTCCTCCACAATAGCGATGAACTTTGACGCGTAGCCTTTGTAGCATACTGAACAGTGAAGGGAAGTGAGGAGTGGTTCTTTCGGGCTATGATGTTACCCTTTCCTAGACGATACAGGGCTATGGAGTGAAAGCCTACTGGATATCAGGACGTGGCCGATTTAAGGTTGCTGTACCGGGTCCGTATTAAAACTTACCCCATAAGTCGAGCCTATTGAAATCACCATATAAACAACATAACAGCGTTTGCGTCTGATATCTCCAGAATACTTGGTTCGGAGATGCCGATCTGGCCTTCGGCTTGGATAAGCGCATGAACACTGTAGCCACATCCGAACTCCTATTGAAAGATGAGGAGTTATCTATTACGAATGCTCGATCAGTGGGCTTGGGAGAATAATGGTATGATCGGTTGAGAGCATCAGCTATGTTGATACAGTTCCTGAAATATAAGGTCCTCTGATATATTTTCCAGAATTGCTTGTGATATTCCTCTGAGTATTTTCTATCCATGTCACGATGCGAGGCCAATAAGTTATGGAGCGAATTATCTGGTGCAAGTTTCGCAATCCTAAACTGAGCCCCTAACGAACAATAAGAAGCAACAAGGAAACAAAAGACTTGCTCTAATCGGCGATACCGTCCTGCGGCTCACTCTCGTTGATGATGGAATCTTATTAGGGAAAACCACCGGTAATTTATATTATTTCCGCTCGTCCGACTAAAAGTAATATTCCAGCCAGGGCAGTATCAAACTATTTGTTCAGCTGAAGCCTCAAACGCTGCTGTGTTTAAAATGACTGCACGGCTCGCGTAGAAATAAAGCAAGTATTGGACTGTGAATCTTGCTGTAATTGTGCGAAAGGTCGTGGCTAGGACGAGTTTAGCGAGCCGTTCATGATTGAACACACCTTGATGCAAAAAACTCAAAGTGCCTGCTCACTAGTGGTTCACCCCCACCTCTATTTGCGAGCTCTCAAGTTCAGGTTTAGCAGCTACGTTAACCAAAGCTTTTGCCCCATCTATTTGTAATCAAGGCCCACCAACTTACGAAGACCAATCAGACTTTAGGTATATCTCTAAGAAATGTACCGCAAGCAGGAACAATGTCATCTGGTCCACCTGGGACATGACGCCGCAAGCGGCACTCGAGTAGTCAATGATCGTGAACTAATTGCCGTGCGGGTTGGTGGTAGCGTACATTCATAACCCACGGTCTGCTGTTGTTAATCCTGCCAATGATCAATCAATTGGAAACTTAATGCCCCTCTACCACCCAGTAAGCCGACTTGCTGTCCGTTATCTAGAGAGGGATAGTGTGAGACCCGAATATTATCTAGAACCTCATCAAGCCGCATGCGTTAATTCATTCCACTCAGATTGTTAAACTTTTCTGCTGTCACATGTAAAGCTTGAATTGACTGACACTAATTTCACACGTCAGAGATGAGGATTAAATGTAATTTATTCATCCCATTCTCTGCTGTATGAAGGGTTATGTGCTCTACGTCTTACCATCGCCACTGAGCATCAATAAATCCTGCGTCATGTCTTCAAAAGACCTTTGGAAGTCGTCCAAGTTCAGCGACTGTACGGTTTCCTGCGAAGGGCAAACTTACGATGTACACAAGTGCATTATATGTGCGCGGTCCCCGGTCATGGAGGCGGCTTTCTTTGGTAACTTCAAGGTAGGATTTTCTTTCTGGAGATGCGGTAGTTCTTAAGAAAGACTCCACTAATACGGAAATAAAGGAAGCTGTGCACGCACACCTTCATATAGACGAGTATGAGCCTGTGGTAATCGAAGCTATGTTGGAGTATATCTATACTGATATTTATACCTGTTCGGACTCCACTGCTAGCCAGGCCATTTTCCATATGGATGTCAACGCGGTTGCCGATTACTATCAAATCGACGGTCTCTTGAAGCTATCCGAAGATAATCTCGGGGACTTCTTAAGTGCATTAACGCACGCAGAACAACTTCCTGTCATTGTTAAGGCAGCTACAGAAAAGCAAGTCGATCGAAAGTTACAGTCCTTAGTTGCATCGGCCTCAGCAAAATTCATGGAATCGCTTATCGATAATCCGGACTTTACGTCACTAGATCTTCCCAACGACTTCAGAAATCTCGTCTTTCAAGCGTGTGCATCCCAGATTGCCCACATGAAATCAGCGACAGCTGAAGTCCAGGCCAAGCTTAACGCGAGCCTTCAGTCTTGCAATTGGGCACTTAGGAAACATCAACTTCCGAGGCTTGAGAAACAGCTTGCCCTTAGACACCCTGGCTTATAAAATCATTTTCCCACAAATGTGTTTTAAGTTATCAGCTATTGTAGCACGATCATTGACTATTCTGGGTTGTAGAACAACTCATCGTACCGTTAGCTGCAATGTGAATAGGATTGAAGAACAGCAGCCAGCTTGCTGCCAGTCTGGCGAATGTTAACGAGAGGGAATGGAACTGGAATCGCACGGCATGATGAAATATACAGGGCAGCAACTCTGCACAATTATTGCCAAGATAATATGAGAGAGAATCAAAAGTTAACGATACGTTGTCAATCTTAGAGTGGCCATCGTTTCTTACAGAGTGAAGGTCACGTGAGATATTCCCTGATGGTGAGCAGCAGGCGCCTGTTGCCTGTTTGGAAGTGACCGCTGGGAGTTGCAAACACACTGCGTTGGAGAAATGATATAACAGAAGTTGATTTGATACATACTGGCTCCCTAATGGCCGAGTTGGTTGAAATAAAGACACTACATCTTGCGTGGGCGGCCACGGGGCCTTTTTGTAGAGTCCTTGTTGTTGTTGCTCGTCTTTCCTTGTCCATGACTCTTTGTAGCCTTTTTGGAAACTCCAGCTTCCTGTGCGAGCTGAGCGGTCTGGCTCCCAGTCCTCTTGCCTCCTTTCTGTCGACGTGTCTTTGACTTCTTCCACTCCTCAATCAACTCCCTCATGTTCACACAGTTCTCCTCTGGCACAGGTGTTGGTTTCCACTCCACTGTGTAGTGTAGCTTCCCGTTGATCAACTCTTCGCCTATAATTTCGACAGCTTCCCATTCATCCTCGGATATTTCATCCACCACCGGAGGGGTTGGAGGATCCTCCGCGGACGGACTTGTGCTGGCACGCTCATTCCTTGCCTCTGTATCGCTGTTCTGGAGACTAGCCATCTCAACACTCATCTGAGTAGCAGGAGCCAGGCACAGTGCCCCAATAGAAGAGTCTATCGGGGGATCGGCAGTTTCGTCATATATAGGAGCGGGATCCGACTCGATTTGTGCATGCAACAACTCTTCGGCAGCAGGGGGCTCGTTATCATATGCATCTTTCTTGAAAATATTGACCGACGCGTTAGGACCGCTGTTGGTAGGTGCCAAAAAAGTCATGTCCAGAGACTGCGGAGGCCTGCTACTATCGATATTCTGATCCCAATTTGTATCTTCATCGATAACAATGGCATAATCTATAGTCTTCTGTCAGCTCTGGCTTTTCGGGCTCTGGAATAGAACCAGTAC